GGAAGCTAACCTTTTTACAGCAGGAGGCTGGCTAAGATGTGACAGTAATGGAAAAAAATATGTAACATGTCAACAATAATGTAAAAGAAAGATATCAGTTAAACATTTCCTTTTGTAAACAGAATTATTACTTTTACTAAATACAGAAGAAGAAGAGGTGCTTCTTTTCCCTGCTTGCCCGTTTTCTGATGATTTCTTGCTATCAGTTTACTCCAGTCACTTTGGACACTTTGTATGTGATCTGTGGGCTGGAGCCACAAATTCATTCATGATAGCTAAACCAAAAACTCCAGGAACGTTTACTTTCCATTGCAACTTAGATTTTAGCCACAGCTAAATCTGACTTCTTGTTCAGCTAGCAATTGTACATGAAGTTTCTGCAGAGTTTGTCATCAGGAAAATTTCTTCAGAGTCTACTAGCCAATGTCCGAGCAGTGCCACAAGCCACAAGCCTTTTATGAACTTAGACCTCCAGGTATCTTCTTGACAGAAAATGTAATTAATTTTCAGTTGCTTAATTTAATTTCTTCTTCAAGGGCAATTTTCTTCTGTAAGTATTTTTAAGTATTTAGTGCTAATGGACAATTAGCCACATGAATGGTTTTCGATTTATGTACTTAACACGTTCCAGTCATCTTTCATGCAAATAATGACATATTTTTCCTACTTTGAACTCACTTCTGATTAGTTTCCCTGTACAGTGAATCTATTACCGTTATTACTATTAATACATATTACTCAGTTAGGATCATGTGTTCTGGAAATGCTAAATAAATACAACTTCAGCTTTGGGAACAATCTCAAAAGTAAAGATTACTTTGAAAGACAAAATTCTGCAATCAGCCAAGCATGTTCAGCTATAAAGAAATTTCATAAAATGAATCCCATTTTTATACAACTAGAGAGAACTTATCCTAACCTTCAGAGTTAGTTTCATGATGAAAAAGAAAGGGAAACTGTTACTAGACTGCACAGACAGAACTGGGAGCACAAAGGATTTTTTTTTATACAAGAAATATATGAAATAATTTTAATAAAGGTGAGACATTAAAAACAGATAGACATACCTATTTCTTGTCGTTTCTGGCAATTTAGGCAAAGTTTCAAATTCAGAAACAGTTGGTAAATAGTAGTAAAGAGGTTACTGAGAGAATTCAAAGATGCATCCTGAGGCACGACTGAGTGACTGAGTGCTCTCTGAGTGTTTTGTTGGCCATGTACAATGTCTGTGATGTTACATTTTGGAAGAAAGCCCCAGGATTTTTTTTTTTTTTCTCCAAATGTCAACTGTAGTATTTTTCAAGGTATGTGAAATATTTCATGCTCATTGTGAAATCATATAAGCCATATGCCATGACTCTCGTCCTCCTGTGACCACTAAATAAAGCTCTAAAGTACAGGTCCTTGACAATTAAAAGTTCCTTTATATGATTAACTATGGCCGTAACAATAACAATTTTGTCAACAGCTCTGAACTGCCCTCTCAGTGGCGATGCACACAAAGACAAACTTTGAACTAGGCTTTTTTTGTGGTGGGAGCTCCTTCCTCTGCCAGGCTGGGGGAGGACCATGCCAAAGAGCCGGGGTTAAAGCAGAATTGGTATATGGGAAGGGCGGCTGAAACTTGGACCCACTAAACCCAGGGTCAGCTTTTCCACTGTTTTTGAAAACAGATGTCCTTTGCACCCTATGTTAGGTGTCTAGGGCATGAGTCTCTGTGAACACTACTGCTCAGTAGTGCATGATGACTGCTGTTTTTTCTCAAGTGTGCATCCGTAAATAATCTTCTTTGTATGTGATTACCTGCTGGGACCTTGTAGCCTGAAACTGGTTGTTTACCAATTACTTTTATCTTTTTCATTCTGATTCTCCTCTGATTAGAACAGTATTTTAAAAAAAAGATCGTATCTGTTGCATCTCAGATTTTAAATACAAATCTCTTTTAAATATATCTGTGTAAACAATAGGTTTTTTCAACTTCTTTTTAAAAAACAGTAAGAAATTACCAAGGGACTGGAATGTTATTTGCTTACAAGAAAACATTCTTCCCATTGGCTACCTACCCAACACATGCACTGTTTCTCTGAATTCTTATTCAGCTGTGTCCATTCTTGTTTGATAAGTGAGTTAAAATGAAAAGCCACATGAGGCTGCATGGTGATATCTTATTAGGAACTTCGCTATCATTGTGATAAATACTTTTAGTCCCAACTTTTTATTCATTAAAAAGATACTAAGTTAGAGTTATGCAAACACTGGTAAAATTGACAAATTTGAAAAATTGTTCTGGTTAAGACCATCACACTGGAGAAAACTCTAAGGAACCCAACATTTAATTTGAGGATTTAAAATGTATAAATGCTTCTTTTATTTAAACAGCATCCTATTTAAACATTTACTTATTTTGTTCAATAAACAAAACAGTATAAAAAATACATCTCAAATGAAGCTATACGCTTCACTTCTGTCAAAATGATTTTTTTTAATATCTGGATCAAAATATTTATTTTGGTGAAAACCTGAAACACAACATTTTTTTGGATTACATGTTACCTAAAGAATCCTAATAACCTACAGGGGATCAATATCTAAACAACACATCCCATGCTGACTCATTAAGGTAAGTGCAATACAACAGGAGATCTTTGTCACAGACTTTCAAAAACTTCCTCTTTGCTTACGCTTGTGAATTTCTGTGTTTAAGTTATTTTTTCCATAAAGAAGAACATTTGAGCAATAACAAGAAGCCTGGAATTTGTCCTTGCTTGGACATGAATCTCTAGGAGCTGCCAACATCCACATTTACTCACAGACTCTAAATAGAAAACTGCAGCTGCCTCTAAAATTTAAATAATAAATAACATAGTCTTATGAAACTCATCACTTCTTCAAAATGGGATCAAAATCTCGGTTTGCAAATCCAACTCCTTTTTGTAAATCTAGTTTCTTATTTTCTATTGTTTTTCATTGCCATCTTTAGAACTTTTTTCAGCAATGGAGAGAGATTCAAAATTGGGAGTCTATATATTTGGTGGAAACAGTGAAATGAATAGGCACTGATGCAGCTCCAGCTCTTAAACAACTTAGAACAAGTCCACAGAAGAAGCTGTAACCTTATACAAAAAGGGGATTTAATTTAAGATTTCTTTGCAACTTGGGTGTTCATTTCAACCTATAGAGAGCACATAATGATTTGGTAACATTTTACAGTTTGCACAGATGTAATGGACCACAATTTAAAGGAATGTGAAGGATTAAGTTTAAAAACATCTGTAT